ACACTACATTATGTTATGAATCTTGAATTAAGAATAAATGTGATCAATAGACGAAATTGTTGTTTCCTAATATTCATCACATATTTGAATTTTTAATTATCCATTGTTTACAATCTTGTTATATTTTCAATTAATGAAAAGGAGGTAGGAAAAATAATCACAGTTATTATAATTATTTACTCACTTTTGTCAAATAGGAGTTAAGAAAAATTAAATTAAGTTTTAAGTATAGTTCTCGTGGGAACGATAATCCGGACTCATAGGTCCACTATACTACTTGTTACGATATCGTACACTTGCGATATAAAAAATGCAACAATGCTCGAAAATTAGAAGAGAACAAGTTTAAAAAAGACGAGAAGTTTTCAGTGGAAAAGTCATGTAACATTAGATGAATAAAAAACACAATGTACTATGGCTACATACCGTTCCTTTTATGAAAATTCGAAATTCAATAACTATGTAAAAAATTATGTGCCTACTGTTATTTATTTCATCGTCAAAATTCAATTATAGGTCAAGGAGCAAAGCTGGAAGCATTTATGACTTTGGAAAATGTTTTCCCTTCTCACAACCGGTTGAAGATTTAAGTATAAACCACACTTTGGATCCTCAAGTACAAAACTTTGTGGAGCATCATACCTTGCCGTTAGAACCAATTTGTCAAATATTCAGCACAAATAGACGAAAAAAAAAAAAAACTTCAGTTCATTATGATATGATTCAATCAACATGAACATGAATCAAAATACGAAAATCAATATATAAGTATATAGAGAGAAGAGATTCACATACCTTTACCGTTAGAGTTTGAGGAGAAATAACCTAGGAATTAAGAATTATCGCAACTACAAAATGTTTCGAAATTGGCCTTAGGTTTAATGTTGGGATGCGTAATTGTCTAATTGGGTATTAAGTTTAACTGAGTTGGGTTTTGCATTTAATTTGGTTGGGAATTGCATTTAAATATTTTGAGTCTTATATGGATGAATCTTTTAATTGGGATGAATTTTTTTATTGGACTAGATAAAACATAAAAATAATTTATTTTCAAATTTAATTTTGAAAGTGGTTTGACTATTTGAAATGGTTTGCAAAAATTGATAATATTTCTAACTTTGTTAATTATACTTTTGTAATCTATGTTAAAATGGAAACAAATCTATTTTTGTGGGGCAGATAGAGTAATTTAGCCCTTGTTTGTTGCCTATTATTTCAAAAGAAAAAAAAAAAAGGAGTTTTGAACAGTAATTTTAGGAGAATGTTTGGTTAAATATTAGAAAAAATGTTTTCGATTTACGTGCAGAATATTTTGCCCTCGTTTGACCCTCATTATTCCCCACTAAATTATAATTCTATTTCTTTCACTTTTAATCAACCACACATTTTTAATAAAATAATATTATATTACACGTAAATTTTTTATTTTTTTTATCACACATTCTCTAAAAAATTGCTATTTATCTTACTATAGTGTGGAATCTGGGGGCCAAACGTGAGCTTTATTTTGTGAATGTGTGATTAAAAATGATATTATAAAAAAAAGAGTTTTAAAATAATGGACCAAATAAGGGTTTAGTATTTTAATTGGGCCTTATGTTTTAAGACCCCCTAAATTTTGA